GCGACCGCCCCCAGGCTCCGGCGCTCGCCTGGCCCCCGGGCTCCGGTGCTCCCTCTCCCGCCACTCCCCCTTGCTCGGCCTTGTCCCCCCGCTGCCCTCGGCTCTGGTGCTCGCCACGCGTTGCCGCCAGCTTGCTTCGTTCGGCCCTGTCCCCGAGAACCCCATGGCTACGGTGCAGTCGCACGTGGCCCTGCTGCTGAACATCATCTCCAGTCCAACCGAGCGCCTCCTCCCGCGGTGCGGGGCACACGCGTCGGTCTTGTATGCTGTGCCAGGCTCCCGGCCCACGGACCTGCAGCACCTACTCAGGGGCCACATCTGGGGTGTAGGCTATTTAGTCGCTCATGGCTTCTCAAGCGCGGGGATGTCTTGCACTCCGGGTTGCCGAGGGTTCGAAGATGAGCAGGAGAGTAGAGTCATGGGCAGTAAAAGGATGAGCAGGAGGAGGAGAAGGATATTCTTCTCAACCGAGCCTTCAAGGATCAAAATCTGCAGACAAAGGCATTCATCCCAAACGCACCAAGGGGCAGCCTTACCACTGCGGCCAGCTGCCACTGGGCCGTACTGCGCACCCGCCTCCAGCTTCAAGCGTACACACCAGGAGGCAGCCTCACCGCGGCCAGCAGGGATGCAACTAGGCAGCAGTGGGACGGGGCTACTGCGCACCCACCTCCACAGCATCAGCACCCTACTTCTACTTCGACTGCAGCCGCCCCGCCAGCTGCTCACACGCAGGGGCGGAGACAGGACAAATAATCCACCGGCGAAGATAAGATTCGAAGCACTGCGAAAGCAAACCGCCGCACTGCACACCTCTACCAGCTGCGACCGCGCTCAGCTGCGAAAATAATCATGGCTCCATCGCATCCCTCGTCCCTCGGCGCGGGCACTGTTCAGTCCAATTTTACAAAAGGGCACCACGGACATCGTAACACAGGCTCGTGCTAGCGTCACAATACCAGTCCCTCGGTGAGGGCCGGCCACTTCGTCTGTCGTTGTGGGCGGGATGGTGGTGGAGAAATCCAGATAGTTCAAAGCATCGTTAGGTTGATAATTTCCTTGCTCGCGCCTGCAGCGTACGCAGGCGTCACCCTCCAGGCATTGCCACATTCGACTGGAGTGGCACTGCCTTGCTGCCATAATGCACCTGACCACTTCCCTGCTTCTCCTCGCCTCGCTCCCCCCTAGAATCCGCAGCAGCAGCAGCAGCAGCAGCAGCAGGTGGTATGGATTAGCACCTGAGGCATCGGCACATAGGCCCCAGGTCGATCGCGTTTTGCGTTCCGATCCTTCTTCTTTTCTGAGCGCGAACGCCTCCATAGACGCGACATCACTCGCTAGTAGGTGCAGCGCACAAGAGGGGAGGAGGAAGAGGAGGAGGAGGAGGACGAGGAGGAGCAAGAGGCACGGGGATTCGATACAAAAAAAGCGTAAGACACGACGCCAGTGGTGGCGAGAACAGGGATGCTTCAGAAGTCCCCGGTCGGGTGTTGCTAGAAGTACCCCTGGCCGGCCCAAGGTGCCCTCAGCTTTTTGCTCTATTTCCCAACATCCAAAGTGGGGTTCTTGTGTTCTCTGCACACCCCGCGCAGGAACACTCACCCCACCCCCTCTCCTCTTCTGCCTTCGCACACTCACTCACTCACTCATCATCATCACCACTCACTCACACTCACACTCACTCACACTCTCTCATCATCAACATCAACATCATCACTCGCGCTCTCTCACAAGCCCAGTCACTTACATACTCATCATCATCATCATCATCATCATCATCATCATCATCACTCGCACTCTGTCACACGCTCACTCATTCACATACTCACCTGGAGGAAGTCTCAGGCGGGAGTTCGTCTGTGAGTGAATTGTGAGGAAGTCTCAGGCGGGAGCCCCCTCCCTATGGGGCCCGCAGATCATGTTGGTAATCCGAGCGGGTCATCCAAACCCTGTAACTGTCGTCACTTTTGGGCTCCTCAAGCTTGAGTACGGAGGAAGTCTCAGGCGGGAGCCTCGTCTGTGAGTGAATTGCGAGGAAGTCACAGGCGGGAACCCCTCCCTATGGGGCCCGCGCTTCATGTTGGTAATCCGAGCGGGTCATCCAAACCCTGTAACTGTCGTCACTTTTGGGCTCTTCAGGCCTGAATTTGGAGGAAGTCTCAGGCGGGAGCCTCGTCTGTGAGTGAATTGTGAGGAAGTCTCAGGCGGGAGCCCCCTCCCTATGGGGCCCGCAGATCATGTTGGTAATCCGAGCGGGTCATCCAAACCTTGTAACTGTCATCACTTTTGGGCCCTCGCGCTGCCAGAACGCCATTCCCGGGCCACATTGTGCATGCCCGGAGCCAACTGTAAGCCACTTCGTGTTCTTCGTGTTCCCAGAACACCACTCCCGGGCCACATTTTGAAACCCCGGAGCCAACTGTAGGCCACTTCGTGTTCTTCCTGTTCCCAGAACACTACTCCCGGGCCACATTCTGGATGTCCGGAGCCAACTGTAAGCCACTTTGTGTTCGTCGTGTTCCCAGAGCGTCATTCCCGGGCCACATTTGTGAAGTTCGAATCCGAGGAGGGTCCTCGGAATTCGTATGCCTGTCGTCACTTTTGGGTCCCCGCGGCCTGAATATGGCTGTCATGGGCCTGCTTGCTCCAAATGGCGACTGAGGAGCTGACGACGACGACGACGACGAGACAGCGGCCGGGCGCAGAGGTAACCTCTTGTGTCCGGGCCGGGGGTGGTGACCCATCCTCGGCCGAATCGGGAGCAGGGGTAACCTCTTGTCTCCGGGTCGCCGGTGGCGACCCATCGGCGGCTGAATCGGGCGCCTGGTCCAAGCCAGAACGCTGCACAATGCCTGCGCCATGCGAGTCCAGAAGTACATCAACGCGAAGCTGCGGCCGGGGGGCATGCAGAAGAGGCTGAAGTGGTTGTGGGAGCACGTCCGCGTTCTTGCCATCGAAGAGATAAGCATGGTGGCAGCCGCGCTGTACAACGCGCTGGACCTTCGCGCCTGCCACGGACGCAGTGACACGCACGACGTGCAGGAGTCCAACTACCAGCGGTCACACCACCACTTCGGGCGCGTGCCTATCGTGTTGCACCTCGGAGATTTCCTGCAGCTGAAGCCCACCGGCAGCATTGGCCTCCTGACGGACGTGAACGAGCGCCTGGACGACGACGAGTCGTACAGGTACGCGGATCCGCCGACGGTGGAGATCCAGCACGCCATCAAGGTCTTCTCTCAGATCCCCTGCGTCTTCGAGCTGAAGGGCACGAAGCGCTTCGAGCCTGGGGACCCGCTGATCACGCTCCTGGGCTGCATGCGCGAGGGCAAGCCCTTCCCACCGGAGGTCTGGTCCGCCTGGGAGAAGACGTTGGCCACGGACAACCGCGGCGTCCTGGACCCTCGGCACCAGCACGAGAACTTTCGGCTCGGCTACGGCATGGGCATCTACTGGGAAACGCTTGCGAGGTGGATGAACACGCGTGCTCGTCGCGACGCTCGGCGTCTGGGCGTGCCCCTCGTTTTCCTGCAGGCCGTTGACGAGTGCGGCACGATTCAGGGCGATCCCGACGCGGGTCGGCGCCTCCTGAACGTCCCGAACATGCACAAGACGGGGGACATCCACGGCGTCTTGCCGGCCCACGTCGGCATGGAGGTGCGGTTCACGGCAGCGCAGGAAGAGCTGAAGAAGTTGGGGCTCGTGCAGGAGCAACGGGCCACCATCGTGTCTTTCGAGTTCCACCACGAGGACGAGCAGCGGCACGAGGAGTGCTCGGCAGGCCAGCTCTTTCGCCCCCGCTTCCTACCGCAGGAAATCTGGCTGCAGGTGCACGGCTTCAAGGAGTCTCCGATCTACCAGGAGGTCGCCGAGGTGCTGTGACAGGGCGCCGAAGACGCCGACGACGACGGCCAGGCCGAGGCGCGGGCGCGGAGTTTGCTGATGTTCACGCCCAGCGAAAAGGAGCTCACATGGCAGAGCTCGGGGCCGCACAACGTGCGCCGCTCGGGGTTCACCCTGACCCACGCGTCCTACCTGACCTCCACGCTGTCGCAGGGCCAGACGCTGCGCAAGGGCGTCACCATCGACTGCGCGAGAGGAGAGGACGCTGGCCGCACGGGCATGTCTGACGAGCAGTGGTGGCTGCACCTCTACGTCATGCTCTCCCGCGCCACGTGCATGCGGCACATGCTGATCCTGCGGCCGCCGCCGCGGGAGTTCCTGGAGCGAGGGCCGCCAGCGTCCTTGCGGAAGGCGTTCCTGGAGTTCGACAAGAGAGCGGTTTTGTCCAGGGCGGAGGCGAAGCAGCTCGCGGCAGAGCTGGGTTTCGTGCTGCCCGCCTGAGCGCGGCTGCGCCCCGCTCGAAGCCCGCGGGGTTGTCCCAACGGCTTGGTCTTGCGCGCAAGCGGCTCGCGGGGTTGCCCCGACAGCCTGGCCCGCGGGGTTGTCCCAACGGCTGCGCGACGTGGCCATTAGAGAACGCGCCTGTGCTGGCCGAGGCGGCGACGGCGCCGAGGAAAACCGACATGCGCGCTCGTGCAATGGAAAGGCGAGGCGGTGGCGGGGCGCGAAAAAAACAGGAGGGCGAGGTCGGGGGCAACGTAGGGAGCGGGGGGAGGGCCCGCGCCAGGGCGAGAAGAAATATACGCAGAAGAGACAGTCAGGACGCCTCACCAACCACGAGGACGACGGTGAGCGCTTTTTCCAGATTCGCCCAAAGGATTCTCATGTGGGGTCCTTCCGTCGGAGTAAGTTTGTGCCCCTGGGGCCCTCTGGGCCTCGTGAGGGGTTCCCTGGAGGCCGTCTGGGTCATCCCGAGAACCCTGGGGGTACCCTGGGCCAGGGGTACTTCTAGCAACACCCGACCCGGAGGAATCCCGAGGCCCGGAGAGATCATCGAACCTCGACCATCGATCATCGACGACGGCTCACACGCCTCTCTGGGCTGGCGTGGCCTCGACCCTGGGCAGACTTCGCGCTCCCCCTTCCCCGACCGCGGCCTCCTCCTGAGGCGGTGCGGAGTCCTTCTCCCACAGGTCCGCCCAGCGGCTCACGTTCTCGCCCAGGTTGTTGGTGTGGTGGGCGAGCGGCGGGAAGAGGCTGACCATCTTCTCCGCCATGGGGAGTATGACGAACTCGGCGAAGCCAACCTGGGAATTGGGCTTGTTGACCTTGGTGCGGTCATTCAGCATCTGCACTGGCACGCCAGCGGCCTTCTCCTGGTCCCCCTGCGCGAAAAACTCGTCGAGGCACAACAACGCGTACTTGTAGCAAAGCTCCCATGGCTTCATGGGGTTGGCAGTGTCACAGAAGTGCAGCGTTGCGTTGCGCATCAGCTGTGCGTTTCCCTTTTCCTGGAGCAGCTCGGCGGTCTCCGGATTTTGAAGACCACGACCTTCTTACGAGCAGAAGTTCGGCCCGCACATACGAGCCGAGCTTGACACTCCAACGGGCTGGCCAAATCCCCGCTAGATGAAAACTTCAGTATCTAGAGAATGTGTTGTCTAACCATGGTTTGCAATTTCCCCCTGAACCATAAACATGCATTAATCGCCCTTCGAGAAACAAACGATGTCCAAGGTAAGGGCCCCTCGCGAGATATGTGGGGTCCAAGACCAGAAGGAGAAGAACCATTGCATCATACTACATTCGCTGGCGTCAAGACCTATTGCTTCAAAATCACATTGGTTCCTTGCTCCAAGGACCACAGACTTTTACAATCTCGACTCGTCCTAGCCACTAGCTAAGCGCAATGGATCCTGAGACCCCGTGGCTACGCATTCGAATAACTCGCCAGCCCAACGAGCCAAAGGCGCGCTAGAATCGCCAGTAAGAGGTTCAAAACGTGTTGTACAGTGTTACTTCGCGCGCGCGCGCGTGGCCCCTGGCGCGGGTCAGTGGGTGGCAGGCCCCAACATGGCCCTGCGATGGCCCCACGCGGCCCAAAGGTTGCTCCAAGACTTGAATTATCCAAGACAGCTCCAGAAGGCCACCGAGAGGCCAACATCTGAAGAAAATATCCAGGCGAAAAGCCCAACCATACGCAGTTGTGAATACCGTGCTCTGGGTACCGCTTTCGGTGGACCCCCCTTTGGGGCCATGAAGTGCGTGAGGGGTGTGCCGAATTGGGCGCGGTAGCGCCATGCGAACGCAGCCGTTGAGGCCATCGGTGGAGCTCCTTATGGGGCCACGAAGCGTGCATGAGGTGTGTCGAAACGGGGGCGGCGGCGCCATGCAAACACAGACGCCGAAGCGTTCGGTGCAGCCCCCTATGGGGGCACGAAGCGTGCATAGGGTGTGCCGAAATGGGCCAGGGGAGCGCACGCGAACTGCGCCACGAAAGCACCCTGTACCTCCCTAGGGGGCCACGGAACGTATGAGGGGTCTCCCAACATGAAGCGGGGGGACGCATGCGAGCTGCGCCACGGAGGCACTCGGTGGAGATCCCCATGGGGCCACGAAGCGTGTGAGGGATGCGCTGGCATGGGTCGAGCGGACGCATGCGAGGGAGGCACTTGGTGGAAGCCCCAATCGGGCGACGAAGCGTGTGAGGGGTGCGCCGACATGGGTCGAGCGGACGCATGCGAACTGCGCCAAGGAGGCACTCGGCGGATCTCCCTATGGGGCCACGAAACGCGTGGAGGGTGCGCCGAAATTGGTCGGGCGGACGCGTGCGAACTGCGCCACGGATGCATTCGGCGTAGCGCCCCATGGGGCCACGGACCGTGTGAGGAGTGTGCCGACATGGGTCAGGCGGACGCGTGCGAACCCCGCCGAGGCACTTGGATGAGCTCCCTATGGGGCAACGACACGCGTGAGAGGCGTGCCGAAATGGGTCGGGGGAAACATGCAAACTGCGCCACGGGTGCACTCGGTTGAACTCCCTCCGTATGGGGCCACGGACCGTGTGAGAGGTGTGCCAACATGTGTCTGGCGGGCGCATGCGAACTGCGCCACGGAAGCATTCGGTGGAGCTCCCCATGGGGCCACGAAGCGTGCGAAAGGTATGCCGAGGGAGGACGCATGCGAACTGCGACGCGGAAGCATTCGGCGGAACTCCCTATGGGCCGACGATGCGTGCGAAGGGCGTGCCGACATGGGTCGGGCGGACGCATGCGAACTGCGCCAGGGAGGCACTCGGCGGAACCCCCTATGGGGCGACGACACGCGTGAGAGGCGTGCCGAAATGGGTCGGGGGAAGCACGCGAACTGCGCCACAGAAACAGTTGGTTGAATTCCCTCCGTAAGGGGCCACGGACCGTGTGAGGGGTGTGCCGACATGTGTCGGGCAGACGCGTGCGAACTGCGCCGCGGAGGCACTTGGATGAGCTCCCTTTGGGGCAACGACGCGCGTGAGAGGCGTGCCGCAAAGGGTCGGGGGAAGCATGCGATGTGCGCCACGGAAGCACGCGGTTGAATTCCATCCGTATGCGGCCACGGACCGTGTGAGGGATGCGCCGACATATGTTAGGCGGGCGCATGCGAACTGCGCCACGGAAACACTCGGTGGAACCCCACACAGGGGCCACGAAGTGTGCTAAAGGTATGCCGAAATTGGTCGGGCGGACGCGTGCGAACTGCGACGCGGAAGCATTCGGCGGAACTCCCTATGGGCCGACGATGCGTGCGAGGGGCGTGCCGGCATGGGTCGGGCGGACGCGTGCGAACTGCGCCGCGGAGGCATTCGGCGGAGCTCCCTATGGGGCAACGACACGCGTGAGAGGCGTGCCGACATGGATTGGGGAAAGCATGCGAACTGCGCCACGGAGGCACTCGGTGAGCTTCCGGCGGGGCCACGAAGCGTGCGAATGGGGGGTGCCGAAATGCGCTGGGGGGGCGCGTGCGAACTGCGCCACGGAGGCACTCGGTTGAGCTCCCTATCGGGCCACGACACACGTGAGAGGCGTGCCGACATGGTCGGGCGGACGCATGCGAACGGCGCCACGGAGGCACTTGGTGGAGCTCCCTATGGGGCCACCAAACGTGCGAGGGGTGCCCCGACGGTGGTCGGGGGGGCGCATGCGAACTGCGACGCGGAGACAATCGGCGGAGCTCCATGCGGTGCCACGAAACGCGTGAAGGGCATGCTTGCGTGGGTCGGGGCGGTCGCATGCGAACTGCGCCACAGAGGCACCCGGTTGAGCTCCCCACGCGGCCACGAAACGCGCGAGGGATGCCCCGAAATTGGTCGGGCAGGGGAAGGGGTGGGAGGAGGGGGGAGGGGGGTGGCGAGGGGGGCAGGAGGAAGTGAGACGCGGGGCGCTGTTTTTTCAAACGAAGGCCCAAAACCACAAGATGTTCAGGAAAAAGGAGGCGTTTCAATGTTGCGTGTGCTCTCGCCGTATTCCCACGGGCCCAAAGGCCTCGAAGTCGCTCAAGATGGCTTGTAAGAGTTCCAAAAGGCCCCGTAGACCCCCAAAGAGCGCCCCAGGAGAGCCCCGAGAGAACTTCACGAGAGCCCAACAGCGGCACGGGAGCGGGGAACAACGGGCGGCAGGCGCCAATATGACTTCACGACAGCCCCGAAGAGCCCCAGGATAGCCCCGAGGTGGACCAAAACGGTCCGAGACAGCCCCCTTGGGGGCCCAATCCTGCAGTTACTTACCCGAGACGAAACCAACCCCGCTTGCGCGCGAGACACCTGATTATGTGAACGCTATATACAAGAAAACACACTGCCAGGCATGTAGCACTCCGAAATGATTCGCCAAACAATGTCGGGCCACGCGCGGCGAACACATGCGCAACTCAGATCGCAAAAAGGGTTGCGCAACCATGACTGCGCGACTACGACTGCGCAACTATGACTGCGCAACATTGACTTCGCAACTATGTGGCGACGACAAGCACGACAAGGAATTTAGAACGGGGGGCAGAATTAAAGGGGGAGGAGGAAGAAGAGGAAGAGGAGGAGGAGGCGAAGGCAGAGGGGAGAGGTGGACAGGGAGCATGGAGAAGGAAGGAAAAGAAATACTGGTGAGACTAACAGCGCCATGCGCTACATCTGCTCGGTGCACCCGCGCTGCCGCTGCGGGTGAGCACTGCTGATCTGAACAGCGGTGGCCAGGAGGCAAACGACCCACAACCGCGCGCACAAGTCCAAGTAGGACTGTGGAGCGACCTCCTTGCGCGCGGGTGCCCAGGGCACCGGAACCTTGGGAAGCGCGGAGCGGCGAATTCCAGCCGTCCGTGCGGCGAGGTTTCGCCAAAGACCACGCCGCGGTTATGTTTGCCAGAGCGCGTGGCGGGCATTGTAGCCCGGCGCAAGTGGAGCCGGGCCAGCGAGAGGGCAAAGCTCTCGGAGTCTTCAGCCGCGCGGTTGCGGGTTCATCCTCCCGTGCACACGCTGCTTTTCCAGATCCCATATGTTTCAGCTCTGCTCTTCCCGAGGCCGCATGTATACACGCTGCTCCTCCCGAGCGCAAGCATGCGGCATCCCGAGCCAGAGGATGACGAGGAGGTGAAGGAGGAGAACAGGAAGGGCGGACGTAGGCGGAAGAGATAGGACGAGGGCGGTTTCACGACCCAGTCCGCCACGCCACACAGAAGCCCGCGTAAGCGGCAACAATTGAGCAGTTCACAGCCCCCGAGTCCCCGAGGGGGCCGCGGGGTCTCACAGGGATCCCCGTTGCCCTCACCTCCGCCGTGCCTCCCAGGAGCCAACGAAAGTGGCGACAGTTGCGCAGTTCACAGCCCCCGAGGGAGCCGCGAGGTCTCAAAAGGACGCCTATGGCCCTCACCTCCGCCGTGCCTCCCAAGAGCTCACGACAGTGGCGATAGTTGCGAAGTTCACTACCCCCGACGGAGCGCACAGGATGCAGGAGTAGGTAGGCCGACGAGGCGACGAGGGAGGACTGGGCGGAGGAGGGAGGAGGCGGGAGGAGAAACGCGCAAGTAGTGCTCTATTCAAAATGAGAACCCAACCAAGAAAAGGCTGGGAAAAGTTGGAAGTGTCTTTGTAGATTATGGTTTATCGCCTTTACTTCAGATGCGATTCTAAAGCTGGGACTAGATGGGCTCCCGAAGGGCTTCGAAGACTCCCAACAGTGCCCGGGGAGTCCCCAGAAAGCTTCTATAAAGCCCCAGAGCAGCACAAGACTGGAAATCCAGATATGGTAGGCCCAATGATGCCCCCAAGACGGCCCCGAAAGGCCCCAAGATAGCCCCAAGGTGGCCAAGGCTAGTCCAAGGCAGCCCTCAAGAAGCCCACAGGAGCCTCAAATCCTTCAAACAACCAATCGTTCAATACACGCGGAACGACGCGTTTCCTTCTATGACTACTCTTCGCCTTACCCTCTAACCCATGGCACTTCCTAACATAACCAACTGCTAGCAGTGAAACAATACGTGCCAGCGGAATGAGCGAAGCAAATTAAGATTACCAGCCCTCTGGGCGGAGGTGGTATGACGGAGAGGGGGGTACCCCTCCCCCCACCTCCTCCCCTTGGGGCTGGATGGGAGGCCCCCGATGTGGCAAACGGCCCGATTGGGTTCAAGATGGCCCGCAGGTGGATCCCGATGTGCCAAGATGGATGGCCTCCAAGGTGGCACAAAATAGCCCAAGATGGTTCCATGATAGCTTCCGGCATACCTCCAAGAGGTTCAAGAAGTTTCTTGGGTGGCCACGAGAACTCCCGAGAAACCCCCGAAAGGCCAAAATCTCCTCGACAACTAAAAATGGAACCAATGATGTCTGCGCTCTCGGCTTTTCGTTTCCGACTGGCCTTTCAAGCCTCATGATGGCTCCAAGATAGCCCAAGAGAGCCCTAAGAGGGGCCTGAGAGGCCTCAAGATGGCCCCCAAGAGCGCAGAAGAGCGCCTCAAGAGCACCTCAAGAGCGATCCAAGAGGCCAATATTCGGCCTCCGATGGGGGGGTAAGGGCCCCCCTTTGAACCATAGGGCCCAAGATCGCCCCAAGAGGAATGCGCGCAGGGAAGTTCCCATTGTCAAGACAACTCCCTAGGAATTGCTGGTGTATTGGCTGGTGGTGATATGCCAAGTGTCAGTAAGTACGTGAGCAGAGCCAAATCACAGCGAAACCAACAATGCATGAAATACCTGAGTTCAAAAGAACAGCGCACGCCTGTTGCGTGTACGTGCGCACAGATGTGTTTTATATATATATATATATATATATATATACATACATATATACATATACGCCTGAGATACTTAGCCATGAGTGACGCACCACCATGCCAATTCGCATCGGTCCAATTATCGCAGGGGTCCTGTGACGAGTTAAAGCCAAGAGCTCCGAAGTCAGCTCAACAATGAGCACGTGAGCCGTGGATAGGCTGTAGCAAGGCCCGAACTGGCGCTCAGACAAAAGAAACAGTCCGAGGATAGTTCGTGCTGTCAAGGTCGCCATCTTTCGAAGTGCATCGATGAGTTTCTCACGTGGTCTCCACAGGTCGAAACATTATGTGATGCACCAGACCGTTCAAATCGCGACCCTAACGCGACTCTGAGATGGCTAGGAATGACATGACATGTGCCGCCATTGGACCTGCATCATGAGACGCTGTGAGCTTGGGGAATGGCTGGCCAGATCAATTGCAGACCCCGCTCACACATACATTGGCACATTCGTTGCTCACTCTACCCCTTGCAGAGGATGAAGATGGCATAGAAGGGGGACAGAGAGTCAAGGTTCAGTTTGTTTGATCGGCACCGCCATAGACTTCCCGAACTAAAATGCCTGAGGCTGATTTACTAACCCGTGGGAAAGCCACTCGCGGAAATCGTGAGCTTCTGAATGGAGGATCTTGTATTGGCCTCGGGAGATCCTACATCGAATCATTGTTACTGTGGTCTGATTGCGCTGCTTCGAAGCCCATTCGGAAACACGCAGGGACTGCAACCCACCTCCACGACATCTTCGACATGCAAAATTCATACCGCGGTGACCTAGCAACTCAGAGTTGACCTCGATCAGGAGCCCGAGCTCTACGACCATGGGTTGGTGAGCTATCATATCCGTGGCCAGAATAGACGCCACGATCTCTTTTCGAGCTTCTTTGTAAGCGTCCCGCGGCACGTCCTGGAAAACGTTCGCCTCCGGGGCCTGTATGATCTGGAAGAGCGTCGCACAATGCAAGTTCTCAAGCGGTGATTTGTCGTTGTATTTCAGAGCGTACACGTGAGAAGTCTCCACGAGGAACCTTGGCGACAGGCCGACCGACCGATCGTTCCATCTGATCCCGACCGCTGTCGGCGTGGCCAACGCCTCGATCAAGGGCTGATAGGGCATCTGGCGCACCCCGCGACCACAATTGGCGTGTGCTCCAACGGGCGACGGCAAGCTGGGCGCGGAGCGGGTTGTTCACGCCAGGGTGTCCGAGGTCGTGCGCGACAGCAGCGACCAACAGCGACAGCTGCGATGCCGCGGAGAGGAAGCGGTCTGCTTCGACCTGCCACATCCGCCACCGTGCCTTCAGCACGTAGTGGAGTACCCCAAAGGCTTACACAGTTGTGAGTCGCACAGGGTTTGTAGGATTCTATGGGGCCCAGCCCCGACTGTGCCGAAAACTCTCGGGCATCATCCTCCTCCTCCTTCTCCTCCTCCTGCTCCTCCTCCTCCTCCTCGTCCTCCGTATCATTCATCTCCTCCTTCTTCCTCTTCTTCTCCCAAGTGTTTCCCCAAGGGGGTCCACAATGGCTGGGGGAACACATAGTCCATCAGCTTTGCCAGACTTCGGCACAACGTTTGGCCGCATGGGCGTTTCCACAAGGTATGGGGCGACAATGGTTCGCCGTAGGCGTGTTCGATCCTCCGCCCCATGTTGATTTATCAGATGAGTGTCTGGCGTGCTACATGTTTGACAAATTCGATCCCCTCTTCCCAGTGAGGTGGCCGATCCCGCCGGCCACCCAGAGAGACGCCTAAAACTCGTCCTCCGTTGGTCCCCCCCAAGCCAGCCCAAAAATGGCCTCCAAGACGACCAAGATGGCCTCCAAGACGGCCAAGATGGCCTTAAGATGTCTCCAAGACGGCCCATGGTGCACCCAAGACTGCCCAAGATGGCCCCAAAACGGCCCAAGATGCCCGCAAGATGCCCCAAGAGGGCCCCAAAAGGATCTCCAGGAGGCCAAACTCGGTGGTTCGCCTTATCTGTCTCAATGATTTGTGCATTCTCTCCTTTTCAAGCCTCCGCTGCTCCAAGAGGGCTCCATGGGCCGCCAAGATCGCCCCAAGACAACCCAAGATGGCCCCAGGACGGCCCAAGAGGCCCCCAAAACGGCCCCAAGGCAGCCCCGCAGACTTACAAGACGGCCATAGAGCGCCCAAAAGAGAACACAGGACTGCTCAAAGAGGCCCCCAAACGGCCTCCGAAGGCCAAGGAGTCCTGTACAGGCCCCCAGAGGCCCCCCAAGAGAGGGGCTCCCCCACGGCCAGGGGGAACACGCAGTCCAACAGCTTGGCCAGACGTTGGCCCAACGTCTGGCCACGTGGGCGTTTCCGAAGGCGGGGGGGGGCGGCGGCGGTTCGCCAGGGGCGTCTTCGATAGTCCGCCGCACGCTGGCGGCCACATCGAGGGCGTGGGAGAAATTGTGGAACGGGTTGGGCAGGTAGCGCTCCGCCGCGGCCGCCACGAAGCGCTCCACCTGCGCCGCGGGGGCCGCGCGTGGGCGCCGGAGCACCGCGCAAAGATCCTGTGGTGCATGCCAGGGCCCAAGACGAACCGAAAGCACACGTCCTTCGCTCGCGGGGGGCCGGGGGCGGACCTGGGCCCCGGATGAATTCACAGCCATCTGAGACCCACCCCCTTGCGCAGAACGGCGCGCAAGCAGCGAGAGGGGGGCGGCTCGACAATGGGGCAGATCTGGGCTGTTTTGCCGAGCCCCTCCTTGCCTGCCTCCCCTACAAGTCCGAAGACGTCCGAAACCCTCCACCCTCGATCCTCGCATGTAACTCCACGGTTGCCTGTCGGTCTCCTAAACCTCTGCCTTCTGCAGCAGCTGAGCTCGGTCCGCACGAACCGACGTCAGAAGCAGGACCTGGTCAAAAGTAGGGCCTCGCCGCGAGTTACAGTTATAAAGGGCAACAATCACCCTCTGCACTGCGCCCACCCGCTGTTCCTAGGTCTGAACTCTCTTGAGCCCGAGCCTCGCATCCCAATGACTATCTACTGGGTGTGCCAGGATCCAAAGCGCATGCACCGCCCTCCACCACAGCAGCGGGCAGGAAAGAGGGTGCCTCTGGGTGCCCACTTCACCCTCGCACCCGAATCTGCGTGGGCAGTCTCGCTGGGTCATCCTCAGCTCCGTCGTCCGCCCCACCCTCGATCCTCCTTCGCTGCCACCCGTCCCGCAAACTGCCCGCAACAGTGGGCCGTGATGGGCGCATGGCGCCGTGCCCCCCCCCCCCCCCCCTGCGCCCTCTCCCGCGCGTGCGCGCGGGAGCCGGCGCCGGAGGAGGAATGGACAGGACGAGGGGGCGGGGGATCAGGCAAGGCAAGATGGGGGAAGGCGTCGGCCAGAAGCCAGCTCGTGGGCACGCTTAGCCTTAGGTCGGGCATGTCCCCCATACAGGCAGATTTTCGACGAAAAATACATAAGAGTCAAACATATTCAAAAATGAACAACAAGTAATCTTAAAAAACGTCCCCTGATTTTTTCTGACTACTTGGGAATATTTCTCCTGTAGAGGGACATGCCCGACGTAAGCTTAGCCTTCCCCTGCCCTCGGGGTCCCAGGCACCGCCGACGGCCTGCGAGGCCGAGCCGAGAGCCTCCGAGTGGAGGCGCCTCCCGATGTGGCATATGTTGGGGGGGAGAGCAGCCTCGGCTCAACCAGAAGCGCCCAGTGCCAAGGACCCCAAGGCAGGGGGAGGAGGAGGGGGAGGAGGAGGAGGAGGAGGAAGAGGGGGCGGAGGAGGAGGAGGAGGAGGAGGAGGAGGAGGAGGAGGAGGAGGAGGAGGAGGAGGAGGAGGAGGAGGAGGAGGAGGAGGAGGAGGAGGAGGAGAGAGGGATGAGGACAGGCCAGGTTCGCTCGCGGCACATCTGAAGTCCTGCCCCATCCCTCCCATCCCTTACCATTGCGTAGAGCCCGTCTCTATTCGCACAGAAAGATGTCGAAGAGGACAATTATCCCCAACGGAAACGACACCCACAGCATGGCATAGCATTGCGCACTCGAGCATTACATCCCATGGCATTGCAGCGCAAGGCATGGCTGAGAGAGGAGAGCTGGCCGAGGACGAGGGGGAGGAAAGGACGGAGGACAGCGACGACGAAGATGAGTGCAGCAGCAGGTCGACTGCTGCATCGATGCTGCCATCTTGAGGCCCTCCTCGAGCCCCGGAAGTCCCGAGGAGGGCGCCTGCCTCCCCGACGGGTCAGACGTCCTCCCCGGCATGCTGCCTTGTCTCCACGACGTGGCGGGACGCCCCGGGCCGGAGGCTGCGGACTCGAGCGGAGCACTGCGCGGACGGGAACCTCTTCCAGGGGACCCCCGCACGGTGAGCCCCCGACCCCCTGGGCGGCCAGGCCCCCGAGGCCTGTCGCATCGGGAGCACCCTCCCTGCGGTTGTGCATGGCATGGCAGTGGACACCCCGACAGCCCCATCACCGAGCTAAGCATGTGTTCAACATGTTGGAAGAATGTTCGAACGATGCTTCCAACATTCCCTTTACAGGCCAAAGACATGGCCAAGACATGCAGACATCGGAAGGCCATGTGTCAGCATGCGTCCTCTCCCGTGATCGTCGTCCACAGCTCTGCGGGAGGACCCCCGCGTCTTTCCCGGGATCGTCAGCCCCCGCCACCCGCAGGCGAGCCGCGTCGTGGCCGAACCACCCCGTCTTCTGCGCGGCCTCCGCGGTCAGGAGGCAGTGGACCGCTGCCCCCGTCTTGTGGGCCTCGGGGACCGCGAGGGCGTCGAAGAGCTCGCTGGCGAGCGAGGCGACGACGTCCTGCGAGGCTTGCGCTCTGCGCGCCCCCCCACTGGGGCGCGGCCTTCTGGGGTTCCGCCCGCATGCTGCCCCCTGCTACAGTCACGTCGAGCGCCTCCCTGGCACTTGGATTTGTGGATGCCGTGACAATGGGCACTCTCACAATCCTAGCATTGAACTGAAGATGCGTTTAGACTGTTTGACAGATGTTCCGAACATGTTCTGAACATGTCTTATATCAATGTTTAAACATGTTTGAAACATGTGGATGACATGTTTAAGACATGCTTGAAACATGTTTGAGACATCTGGAAAGTATGTGGCAGCAGGTTTCCTCTCCATTGATCGACCTCCACAAACTTAGCTGATCCTGCTCATGTGTCACGAATACACATGGCTGGGGATTACTGCCACACGCAGCGTATCGTCGGGCAGAGCGAAGGCACCCTGGCCTACACTAGGAGAAGGGCCTTCCCCTGTTCCCCTCTAGAAGGTCTTCCCGGACTCAAGCCACATGGCAGAGCAGATAGCGGAGCGTCAGCACGGAAGCGCAAAAGTCTTCGGCGAGCACCAAACGTTGGCCCGAGCAGACTGCCCTTCCCGGGACGCCGAAAACAGGCGAAGGGGGCACATAAGTAGCGACCGCCAAAAAACAGGAACCCCCAAGACAGACGACCACCAAATTTCGGAGGTCCGCGTTGATCCCTTGAGTCGGCGCTCGCGTCCCGCCCAGCACCCCTCCCCCTAAGGAGCCCGCAACAAACGTACGCGCCCAGCTATGTACATGAGCGCGGCTTCTTGATCCACGAGACCGGCCGCGTGATACATTCGCGCAATGCGTACTTTCGTCTTTCTTTCTCTCCTGACCCCTGGCGCGCGGAGCGCGCCACGGGCCCCGCCAGGGGTCCGGGGAGGGGAGCCCAGCGCCCACCCAGAAAATCCGCGCGGACCTCCGAGAACTTGTGGTGGTGAAGTTGCTGCTGGTCTTATGCTCATTGAAGGGGTACATCGCCGATCCGCCACCGTGCCCACTGGCACGTTGGTTCGTGCTAGAATGAGTTTGAATGGGGCCGGTAGGCCCGACCAGAAGCTACGCCTTAGGCGAAGCACAGCTCCAGCTCAGTTGTATCGTAGTAGCGATACTCCCAGTCGTAGGAGGTCGTCGCGGGAGAAACGGGCCATCTCAAGCGAAAGATGGTTTCGGTCTCGATGGCGAATCGTACACCTCGCCCTGAGATATAGTCAGATATAGGCGGCCGGCCGCTTGAGCACAAACGGCCGCGGACACACGCTCGTTACCTCGCGCCTCTATCCCAGCTCACTTTAGAGTCGGGGGGGAGGTAGACGAAGCCTGAGTCCGCCGCTTCTATACAGCAGATACGGCAACTACTACGCACAACAGGCAACAAAAGGGCGGGGCCGCAAGGAAGGCGGACCCGCACACAAGTTGCTTCGCCTGCACATTACTGTGCATACGATTACTCCTCAGGCGGCCGCAGACCAGGATGTCTGGCCAGCCCGATAAGGAGTATGACGCTTTAACTTATGCTTGAAGGACTCATACCTCCCATGACCTGTAGGAGCATATATCTGTCGATGCTCCCTTTTGTGTGACCACCCGCGGTCATGTCGCGCGTGTCACACCACTGAATACTATGCACGATTCCTCGCTCAATCATCTGTCGTATCCAACTGATGTGTCCGAAAAGGGTACACCCAGTCGGTTTTCCTTCTTATATATATACAAGGTCTTTGCTTAACAAGGACTTGGAAACAGATTCAGCATCTAGGGTAAAGGTGACCTTGATGTCCACGCCACCCAACGCAAGTATGTTTTTTTTTCAACTGAGTGGTAGTGATCGGCCCTACATGGAGCTCGTGCAGAGTCACGATCGTGGGATAGCAGTCCTCCAAGTTGCGGGCTGCTGCTGGTGTCTCCGCTGAATAGCTTGAGCGGACCTGCAAGCGGTGAGACTTGCAATACGCATCGATCAAGTGGACGACATGCTTGCCGGATGGCGTGGTTCCACGCCGTGGCAGGTTTGCCCCGCGAATACCATTGCCTTTGTCTTCGCCATCGGCATCTCCACTCAAGCGTCGATAGCCTAAGTCGCTGCGCAGGTCAACTTCGCCCGTTGGAGTCGTCGCTTAGCAGACGGTCTCCTTAGGGCAGGCCTGTCACTTCCTGGTGATCGCGTTCAGTCGTCGCACGTGTATATTGGTCGGTTCTCGGACACGTTGTAGAGAGACCACATACACCATCAACCACACTAGGGCGATTAATGCGCAAGCCAATGCGCCTCTGTGGCTGACGAACATGTCTGCGCCCAAATTGGGTGCCTTGGCGTCAGCGTCGGAGCCGGTGAGTTCAGGGTGTTGTATAGGACGGAGCTGTTCGATGTATTCATTTTAATCCAATGTGGCATTGCTGTCCTCATCCTTGGTAAACCTCGCATAACAACTGGCATAGGTATATTCGTTGAGTTTGCACTTGCCAAAAAGTGTCCTCGACGCACTTGACGCACTGGTCAATGGCGTCCTCAGTGCCAGCCATATTGATATCATCAACACAATTGGCTGCGAGCAGGTTATTGCTCATCTCGAACTTCTCGTCGTAGGGCGCGGGTCCGAGACCAAAGCCTCTCGTGGTCCTTCCAAGCTTCAGTGAGAAAGCTCCGGGTGCATCCTGGGTGCCGGCGCCTGGCTCGAGGCACTGCAGGCAGCGCTTCGACTCGTCGCGGCGCTCGAACCCTGGGAGGGGCCGAAGCACCGGCGCCGACCCCAGCGGCAATGCAGAGCACGCCGCGCGTTCCTTCTCACCAGTTGCCTCAGCAAGTTCCTGGTAGGACCATGTTGATGTCGAGGGAAGCAAATATCCATTGCTTCTTGCACGCTGCCGCGCGCGCGAGCAATCTCTGGCTTCGCCGCCGTGCCGCCCCCGAGAAGGTTTCCACGTCGAGAGCTTCAAGGTCCATGGAGCCCCGAAACACCAGGCGCAATCTGATGGCACGCTCCATCTCGCCCTTTTCGTCCTTCACGAACTTCCATGTACATGCGCACCTCGAAGTCATCATGTTTGACATGTGAGATACATCTTGCATCTTGAACCACATGTTGTCATACCATGTCTTGGGCTCAGTATATAAGGCCTTTGGCACTTTCTCGGGATTCGCCTGGACGTCGGCCTTCGCGAGGAGGTCGTCTTCCTCGACGGCGACAGCTCGTTTTGCTGTTGTTTGGATAGGACTGCCTTTGACACTTCTGCCGTGAAGCAGAGTTCTACATATTGCCCGTATTCGTCTGAGTCCAATCCGTGACTGTGGTCTTCGACCGTGGAGCATAGCGGGACAGGATACTTTTCCTCGATGCCGGAGTCGCGTGGGTGTCCCCACATAGGGAGGTGCCCCCGCTGCTCTTCAGCTACAGTGACCAGCGCGCTGTTGTCGGTAATCATACGCGCGGGTACAATGTAAAGGTCGTCTATTCGAGTTACCTCCAGTAGTTCCCTTTCATCATGTAGTTCTGCGCACCACATTTCCATATCATGTGCCTCAAGGTCCGCTTCCGATTCGTCAAATACCGTGGGAAACCATCCATCCTCTGGGGCTTCTCTGGCGTTTTCCTCTCGTGTCGGTATGTTCGCCAGTTCATCAAATTTTGTCAGATCTTGGTCCAAGCCCGCTTGAGGTTTGACTTTAGGCATTCGATGATTCTCGAACGTGCTGATCCAGCTATATCATGAATATTCAGGGCGTTGCCTTCTGCTTCACAGTGATGGAAACCTGAATTCACATCGCTGTCATTATGGACCAATGTGCAACTGTCAGCGCAAGCCACCGGATGTAGCTCATGGATACTCCTGGCCAACCCAACAGAGACTACACTCTCAATGCGGAAGAAGTTTCTGATGAGGTATTGAAGCGCCAGATGTACCTTAGGAGATAGTCAGCTTGCACTTGTCATCTGAAGCGTCTCCTTTTTGGATCGGGAAATAGCCAAATGTCGTAGCAGGTCTCCCCGCAGGTAGACTGGCCACAGATGTCAACACTGTCCGCAGCGCAGCGTTGTCGGAGCCGATTCCCCTGGCGATCGAAGTTTCGATGTAAAGTGGATGTCGTGCGTCGCCATATTGGACTTGTACATCGCCATGTCCCACTCGAATGATGACTTGACCCCTGTCGGGGTCATTTCGTACAACTGGCAACGGGCCATTCCAGCCTCCCCAGTCGCCCTTCGTAGTGTGGGGCGAAGATAATCAACCGAATCTCACTCCTTGTAGCAATGCTGACCGGTGATAGTTGTCTTAGTGCGTAATGCACGATTGGTCTCGGTTACTGCAGTAGCCCGTGTGATTGTGATAGCTTCAATGCATGCCTTGCGTATCACCTGTTCTCGGGAGCGATCCGACGTTTCGGCTGGCTGTTCGTGATCCAGAACAGGCAAATCAGGGAGCATTGCCAGTTGCCGCCCAAACAAAGCATTGCATGGAGACACCTCACTGTAGAAGGTGAATGCGTTGGCGGCAAGCAGGGCTTCGCGCAGTAGTCGCGCGAACGCAAGAGGCATGTCGAACATTTGGAACTCAGCTTCCATAGCGCGAAGTAGATGACATAATATGCCATTTCTGGCTTCGATCGTCGTAGCGCGTTGTCCACGCGCGCGTATCCTCAGCTCAATGCCCTTTGCCTTCAGGACTGCCTTCGCAGTGTCGTTGATTAGGTCCCCCCCCATCGGAGTAGAGCACCTTGGCAAGTCCGAATTACATCCAGCACTGATGACACGCATCTAGGATACTTGTGATTGTATTATATGGTATCTCCATTCCAGTAGCATAGCGAATGCAACGATCAATTCTGTGAAATACATTGTGCTCCTGTTGCAGATCATAAGGTCGCATTCGACTTCTTCATTGAACTTCCCAGGTAGCGCAGTGGATGGCATATCGGTATGTCCTGGCTTGTCCCAAGCCCTGCACTCCCGACATGCGTCGCGGACGCCTTTGATCAGGCTGAGCCTGGCGC